TGAAAGATCCTGTAGCAACTGAGGAAAATATCTGATGTTAACTAACCTGTTGCCTCCAGATGCCTATGCACAAAACCTGCATGTGCGCGTGCACACACACGTGCACACATGAGTAATCACATAAAATGTATGGTCTTGTCTTTTTCTTTTTGAGACAGGTTTCACCATGTAGCTATGACTAGTCTAGAACTCAGACCAGGCTATAGACTAGGCTGCCCTTGAACACAAAGATCTACTTGCCCTTACCCCTGCTCCAGAGTGCTGGGATTAAAGGCCTGTGCCATCATGGTATTTTCTTAGACAAATCAAGAAGTCCATGGTATTTCCTAAGATAAATCAAGGGTTGCATTATGCATATTTTACATTTTGATATATTTTTTTTAATTTGTCAAATAAAAACACTACACTAATTTTTGTTCCTATGGGTTAGGATTGCTAATAGTCACTTCCATATGTTCTTGCCATTGGTATTATTCATGCTGTCAGTGTTCTTCCAGCTGGCATTGCAATGCATTGAATGTTCACACCCACTGTAACTATAAGATTGAACATCATGTACTTATTGGCCTCCTGTATTTTTTCCAGGAATCACCGACATAAACTTTGCCCATTTTTCTTGTTTATTTTTTTTCTGATATTAGGGAATTTCTTCATTACACAACAGTCTTTGTAGCAAAGGTGCCCAACACACTTCTCTCCAACAGCCAGAAGCCTGTCTTCACGGTACAGCAGCTCCTAATGTGTGTACCACTAGCCTGCCTTTACAGTACAGCAGTTCCTAATGTGTGCCGTCTCCAGATCATGCACCTAATGTGTGCAGTCTCCAGGTCACATGAAAGGTTTTCTTAAGCCAAGAAAGACTACACATTTGACTCTATAAAGCATATGTAATGCATATTTGTGCATACAATATAACCTGTTTACATTTACATACACTCTACACATCTGCATACACCAGACACTTTCTGTGTGTGTGTGTGATGTGTGTGTTTGAAAATGCAGGTTTTATTTCTTTGCCTCCATAAACCTACCTTATCTAATTTCTTATTTCGACAGTTACTTTACATATTCCATTCTACCTATATGTCACATAAGAATAAATTACCATGGTGTGCTAATGAGGCAGAATACCTCTCTCTCTGTCTCTCTCTCTCTCTCTCTCTCTCTCTCTCTCACACACACACACACACACACACACACGTAGCACACGCACACACACCACCAGATTATCTCAAATCTTACAATGGAAAATGTTAAAGGCATAAAAATGGTTATGAGGCAGAGGCCGGTGAATCTGAGTTTGAGACCACACTGGTCCGTAGAACGAGTTCCTGGACAGCCAGGACCATACAGAGAAACCCTGTCTCAACAAAACAAAACAAAGGGTTATGAAATATTAAAAAGCAGAGTCGGAGAGCATGCTTCCTGCTCCTACAGAATGTCTGACTCTGACTCCCAGAACTCACATCAGACAACCCACTACCACTTGTAACTCCAGCTTCAGGGGATGCAGCACTTCTTCTGGCCTCTACAGGCACAACCCCCCCCCCCCACACACACACACATACACATACACAGATACAGAAATCTTTAAAAATATGTCAGAGAGGATGGGGTTACTTATAAATGATATTAGAAAAACAGTTCAGTATTATTTTTAAATGTCACTTTAAATCTACCATCCACATCAAACAGCTGAGTAAATTCTAGAAGGAAATAAATCCCATAAAAGAGAAGATTCAGAAAAAGCAGACAGATTCAACTGTGGGAAAAATGTTAAATGGCCACATATTTTTCCAATAATTCAGTTTTACTTTATTTATCTTAGGGGTTATAGGGATTAAACCCAGGGTCTTGTATAATGCTAAGCAAGCATTTAACAAATTAATTTTTCTCCCCTTTGGTTATTTGAGACAGGGTTTCTCTCTGTGGAGTCCTGGATGACCTAGAACTCACTCTGTAGACCAGGCTGTCCTCAGACTCACAGAGATCTCCCTGCCTCTGCCTCCTGAGTGCTGAGATTAAAGGTCTGGAATGCTGCCGCCACCCAGCCTTCCAAATTCAATTTTTAAGATTTATTTTATTTGAATTATGCATGTGTGTGTGGGGGTGGGTATGGACACTTGGCTACTGGTGGCTATAGAGCTCAGAAGAAGGTGTCAGACACCATGGAACTGCTGTTACAGGCAGTCATGTGCTACTTGGAATGTGTGCTGGGAGCTGAATCAGAGCCCTCAACGGGGGCAAGAAGGGCTTTTAACCTCTTGGCATCTTTCCAGATCCATGAAAAACCTTTAGAAGTTTAACAATGAGCCGGGAAAGTAATTGGCCAAAACATGACAGACATCATGTGTGACCTGACAGAAACAGCCTAAGGTAGTAAAGTCTCTCTTTGCACTCATGGCTTTGCAAGTTTCAGTTCACTAATGGGTTGGGGTGGGTGGGTGCTCCTCTCATGAAGGAACCAGAACAAGGGTGACAGGAAGGACCTGCCTGAGTAAAGCACACCTCAGGGCTGTAGACCTCCAACCAGGCCTACTTCCCACCTTCCTACCTTCCCACCAGAGCCAAAGTTTCCTCAATTCTGAAGCTACCAATAGATGAAAGCATCGGTTAAGGCTGACTCCTCATCTATAAGGTTGAATCCTCATCTAATCATCTGTGGAAACACCCTCACAGAAAGCCTGGAGTATGCTTTGTGAATCTCCTAGGCATCCCTGATTGGATCTATTTGACATTCAAGACTAATCATCACATATATTCCTCTAAAATGTCATGAAAATCAGCAGTATCAAGATGGGTGTAAAACAGTCAAAACAAGCTTGTGACCATGAAGATGTTCTGCTTCACTCGCTGTTATCCCCATGGTGGCAAACAGATGAAGTTAAAATGGAATGTTCCCAAGGGCACCATTAAAAAAAGTCACGCCAGGTCTGGAGCAGCTGCGGAAGTGGGTGGGGGTACAGTTTGCACTTCATGCTAGGCTCTGTGTTCAGGCCCTGTGACATACGCAAAGCGTTCACACCCTTTGGCCCAGTGATCCCACACTGGCAAATGTACAGGCATAATCCACAAACATGGGGAACATTCTTTGACCAAAGAAAATTATTGAAGTGTTATTTATAATGCAAGAAACAGAAGGAATGAAGAAAAGAAGGGAGGGGAGAGGGAGGGAAAAAGCCAGGGTGGAAGGGAGGCGGAGGGAGAGAGGACAAGCAAAGCAACCTAATTTTAAATTTTTTATTTTTTCAATTAATTTTAATTGATTGGTTGATTGATTATTGAGACAGAGCTTCACTATGTAGTCCTGGCTGAGAACTCAGAGAGATCGGCTTTCTGAATGCTAGGATTAAAGGCGTGTGCCACCACACCTGGCTTGCTTTTTCTTCCTTCTTTCCTTCCTTCCTTTCCCTCTCTCTCTCTCTCTCTCTCTCTCTCTCTCTCTCTCTCTCTCTCTTTAACTTATTTTTTAGAAACAGAATAGTTAATTTATTGGATGATCACACAACAGGATGTTTTGCATTATTTAAAACAACTGTAAGAGCACGCAACACTAAAATACTCCTATGCTCGCTTCCACCTAGAAATATTGAGATATTCACAGTTGACCAGGAGTGTGGGCCAGTCACTGTTTCTGCTAACTTCCAATTGCAAACTGTTGTGCATAGCTCTGGACCAGGAAGTTAAGACAAGACTCCCCATTTGGACTGCACCATCCCCTGCCTGCATGGCCTTGCCCTACCTCCACCTCCTCACATGTGAAGTGAAGGCCCCAGAGTGAGCTACCCCAGGGGCCACTGTGAGCAATGAATGGGTGGAACAGCACTTGCAAAGCACATGGCAGCTTTGCCTGTTCCAGGGTGAGAACGCCAAGATACTGCTTTTGTCATCTAACATTTGAAAGAAATAAAACAGTTTTCAAAAAAGGAAGGATAGCTTACATACAAGGGTTCGTTTCCAATTCCAGAGTTTAAATGAAAGCCAAGTGTGGCTCATTTTGCAGTTCTCCTCTGCCTTTAGGAGTTTCTGTCTAGATGGCACTTGACGGTAACTCGTTTGGCAAAGGGAAGGTCCTCAAAGGCAGAGCCCAGCTACTCTCAAAAAAGACCCATATGACACAGGGAGTGTAGAGAATGGTGCTGTGTTGCGACAAGAGTTACCACCTGGATGAACACTCCAGCAGAGACTTCGGAGTTACACCCTCACCTTTGCATTCTGAAAGGCAGGATGCATTCTGCAACTTATAATATGAACTCCCCCAAACTACTGAGCTAAATCATTCCAAGAAAAAGTTAAGAGTCGACCGGAAAAGAAAATCAAAGTCCAAGATGCATTTCCAGGGAACAGAGTAGAAACTAAGAATAGAAATCCAGACTCCTTTGAAAGATATATCAAAGTATTGACAGGCTTCTGCAGGGTCCAGGGAGAGGGTCACAGAAGAAACCACAGAACACATAGCTTCCTTTAAAAAGCCACAACTATTGTCCTGCCATGCCTTTGAAATTCTGAGGTCTGGATTTCAGACCCCAGAACATCATGGCCCAGATGTTGAGCACTGGGATAGAATCTACCTCTCCACTAGATGCAAGGTCACACTCCACACTCCAAGGAGACATACTCTAGATCCTTCTGTGGACCAAGAACCTTAGCTAGGGGTTTCTTTCTAAAAGAAAACAGCAAGCAGGCTCAGTCTCCCTATTTACAAGGAGAGAGCTCTGCAACTCTAGTGACTAGCATCCAAGGAGAAGGCTTCTCGGCAGAATTGTACACAGTAACTTTAGCATGAATCACCCTGACTTTGCATGATGGGGTAAAAAAAAATGACTCACAAGAAGACTGTTCCTCCCAAGATAGTATATGAGTTTCAAATGCATTTTCAGCCCCCAAAGCATACGTGTAGTGTTTGCTTCTGTGGTCCACACACAACAGAATGCAATGCCAGCCAGAGCCATCTCCTAAGATTCCATTCCACTCTTAAATAACAACAGCTTTGTACTTACCGCAAAGCCCTTGGCCTCTCTCTGGTCCTGGGAGCTGCTGCCCTCAGTCAGTGAGCCCTCTGCACTATGCTGAGCCAGTTGCTGCCTGGGAGGAAAACCACATTCAGCGAGCACTTGGGCAAGGCCTGCTCAGGAAGCAGGCGGGCTCTCCTCCCCACGCCTCTCCCTCTCCCCCACCCCCTCTCACACACACTTACAAGTTCACATACATACGTGATGCAAAGTCAAATCTCTCTCTGTCTGGGTCCCACATACTTAATTTAGACTTCTCCAAAATTAAAAATGTAAAGATGTCAGCTGGCTAGGAATAAAAGGGAACTTCTTCAACCCACATGGGACACAAATACAAACACCCTGAGATATCTAACCAAAAGAAAGAGCTAGTCTGGCCTCAAGCTGCAGGGCCCCCACCAATGCTGCTGGCTGTAGAGTTCTAGATTGAGGGGAAGTTGGGAACCAGGAAGCTCAGAAGCAGGGCTGCTTCTGAGAGCCAACTGAAAGATCTCTGAGGCCTCTTAACTCCTGGGCCTTCAGTAATGTGTTGTGATTTCTTTTTTCATCCTAAATAAATAGGCCTGACAGAGTGGCTTCAAGGAGGAAGGCCTTGATTTAGCTCAGTTTTGAGAGGGTCTCAGTTCAGCAAAGGTGGGTGCAGTAGGAGCTCACAGCTACTTCCCCATATGATAAGGACCAAGCGTTGGAGAAACTCCAACTGGAACCAGAGTCCAGTGTAACTTTCAGTGACCCACCTCCAGTGACTCCACTCCGGTTCCATGCCCAAAGGTTTCACACCATCCCAAAGCATCGCCACCAGCTGGGGACCATGTGCTCAAACACACAGGCCTATGGAGGACACTTCACACTGAGGAGATGACTGTGAGCCTGCATGCACCAGCAGAAAACTGAACCATGTATGTTTGTCCATCTTGTCACTGTTCTCACATTTTATTTATAGTGGGTTCTACCTAATTTTCCCAGGCTACCTAATTTTCCTTGGTGTTTACCATCACAGATTTTCCTGTACATGTTTCTTATGCACACATGAAAGTGGAAAGAACCAAATCTACAGCATTGTCTTCTGATTTTCATCCCCTCCAGCAGCTTAGCATGCACTCTCTCTCTCTCTCTCTCACACACACATACACACATACATGCACACTCACACACATACACTCACATATATATATGAGTGAGTATATATTATACTCACACTCGCACACATACACACTCACACACTTGCACAAATATACACACATATACACACACTTGCACACACATATATACACACTCACACATACACACATATACACACACTCATGCACACACACTTGTACACATACACACACTTGTACACATATATATTCACACATACACACTTATATACACATAAACTCATACACATAAATATACCACTCACACACATACATATACACATTTACAAATAATAATTTTTTAAAGAAAAGAGAGTGCTGTTAATAACCTAATTTTTCCAATGAGAATCCACTTCCTATATTTCCACTATTTACCAGAACCTCTTCAGTCATCAAAGTGCCAATCAATTAATCCTCCCATAAGGTCAGAGCAATAAACTCCCAGAGTTCCCATCTTTGAATACTTTTGCATTAGAGACAAAGCTTTTGACATGTGAGATTTTGAGGGTCATTTAAGATCCAAATATAATGGCTGGGAACACAGCTCAGTGGTAGGACATTTACTTGGTGTGGTAGTTTGAAAGAAAATGGTCCCCAAAGGGAGTGGCACTATTAGGAGGTATGGCTTTGTTGGAGTAGGTGTGACCTCGTTGGAGGAAGTGTGTCCCTGTGGAGGTGGGCTTAGAGGTCTCATACCTCTAAGTTTCAGACCACTTCCTGTTGCTTGTGAGTCAAAGTACAGGATTCTCTGCTCCTTCTCCAGCACCATGTCTGGCTGCATGCCACCATGATGATAACTGAAAATGTAAGCCACCCCAATTAAATATTTTCCCTTCATAAACATTACCCCGACCAGGGTGTCTCTTCAAGACAACAGAATCTCTAAAACAGAAGTTGGTACCAGGGACTGGGGTGTTGCTGTGATAGCCCTGACCATGATTTTGTCTGAAGGAATATGAACCTTGGGACTGTGAATTAGAAAAGCCTTTGAACACTTTAAGTGCTGCTTATTGGGACATCCTCGTAGGAAGATGGAAGACAGGGGTGATGAGGATGATTTGAACTGTGGGGACTAGCTCCAGAGGTTTCAGAGGAGAAGAACTTTAGAATGTTGCCTAGAGATCATTCTTGTGTTTGGTGTTGAATATGGCTGCTTTTGGCCCTTGTCTGAAGAGTCTGCCTGAAGCTAAAGTGAAGGGTTTTAGATTAATTCCGTTGGCGGAGGAAATCTCAAAAAAACCTAGTATAGACTGTCTGTGGTTATTAGTGGCAACTCTAAATGAAGATTTATAATGAAAAGGAGCAAGCTGAGCAAAGGAAATTACAAAATTTAGAACAATTTGAGGAGAAATGGAGTACTAGGAATGGAGTTAAGTGGAATGGAGCTAAATCCTGTGTTCAAGGAGATTAACAGATGAAGACATGGACTAAAGGGAGTGGTCATCTCAGGGCAAGATCCCACCCAGCTAAGCTTCCAACTTGTGAAAAGGAATTAAAGAAAATCTTAGAGCCCAGTGTGATGGTGCATGCCTTTAATCCCACTACTGGGAAGGCAGAGACTGGTGGATCTCTGAGTTTGAGGTCAGCCTGGACTAGAGAGTTCCATAATAGCCAAGTTTAGGTAGTGAAGGAAACTACTGAGAACAGAAAGCTGGCAAAGATGTAATTGAACGAGGGGGCTATGTCCCAGTCCTAGCAAGAAGCAAAACTTGGCATCCTCAGCCACATGGTTCAGATTTCGAGGATAGAAGAAAGGCATTCCTTCCTCCATGACTAAGGAAAGCTGCTGAGGCCATATATCAGGTGTGTCCCTGAGTAGAGGCCTAGAGAGGCCATTTAGTGAAGCTGTGAAGGTGAAGCCTTGGTTGCCTTAGAGACCCCAAGATGTTGGTGATCCCAGAGTAATGGAATACCTGCAGAGGAGAGCTGCTAACAGGGAAAGAAGTATGCTGTCGTCAGCAAAGCTGGAAGGAGTTGGAAATCTGGAGGGCGCTTTGACATCAAACCTGGAGATGCAGAGTCTGGAGTTTGCCCAGCTGGTTTTCAGCCTTTCTTGGTCCAGAATTTCCTCACTATGCTCCCTTCTGTATATTTTGGAATGGTAATATATATTCTGTGCCATTATATGTTGAAAGTATGTGATCTGCTTTTTTTTTATTTTGATTATAAAAGGGGATTTTAGTTAAGAGATTGCAGGAATCTCTGAAGAGACTTTGAACGTTAGACTTTTAAATGAATTTGAAACTGTTATGAACTATGGGGACTTTTGGATTTGAACTAAATGCACTTTTGCTTTATGATATAACTACAAGATTTGGGGGGGGTCAGGGATTGCCACATGGTGGTTTGAAAGAAAATTGCCCCCAAAATGAGTGGCGCTATTGGGTGGCAGGGCTTTGTTGGAGTAAATATGGCCTTGTTGGAGGAAGTGTGTCACTGTGGAGGTGGGCTTTGAGGTCTCTTATATGCTCAAGCCATGCCTAGTGTTTCAAACCACCTCTTGTTGCCTTCAAGTCAAGATGTAGGACTCTCAGCTCCTTCTCCAGCACAATGTCTGCCTGCACGCCACCATGTAGCACCATGATGACAATGGACTAAACCTCTGACAACTTAAGCCATCTAAATCAAATGATTTTCCTTTCTAAGATTTGCCATGATTACGGTGTCTCTTCATAGCAACAGAAACCCTAACTAAAACACCAGGCATCCCAGGCCGTAAGTCCAGTCCTTAAAGATGAATCCAAACAGCAAAAGGCTTTTTAACAAAACAAGAACAAATTAAATCTAGCAAATATACAAATGATGTTATGCCACGACCAAAGGAGATTTATACCAGCAATTTTAGATTGATATTACAAATGAAAATCAGACAACAAAATTCACATTAAGAGAATAAAAGAGAAAACCCACACAACCAGTTCAACAAATGTAGAAGAAACATTTGACAAAACCCAAGAGACTTTTATGATTAAAAAAAATTTAACCACTAGGAATAAAATGGAATTTCCTCAACACAACAAAGGGCAACTACAAAATGCCCACCACAAATATTATATGTAATGTGAAAGTCTGAAATCTTTCTCTGGAGGCCAGAAACAAGACCAAATTTCACTGCTCTCCCAACTTCTACTCAACACTGTATAGGAGTCTTTAGTCAGGGAATTTAGGCAAGAGAAGGAAAGAGAGGGCACTGAGATGATTAGAAAGGTAAAACCATTTCTATTAACATAATGAGACCTTGAAAGATATAGAAGGGGATATCTACAATTTAAAGGGGACATCTACAGCTCCAAGGCTAATGAAAGACCCAGAAAATTCACAAAAAAGAAAAAAAAATCAAAAAAACAAAAACAAAATGAAGGCACAAAATCAGTTGCGTTTTTATATGCTTGCAGGAGTAACTCCTAATACACCCAGAAAATAATCCCATTTGCAGCAACAGCTCCACAGTAAAGTGTTTGCCTCCCAAGAATGAGGACCCGAGCTGTCATCCCCAGAGCCAATGTATACATACCAGGCGTGCTGTCTCATGCTTGTAACTCGAGCACTAGAGAGGCAGAGACGGGAGGATCCCTGAGGCTTGCTGGCCAGCTAGTCCAGCCTACCTGGTGAACTCTGGACCAAGGAGAGACCCTGTCTCAGAGAGGTGAACGTGGAGATAAAACCCAAAGTTTTCCCCTGGCTTCCACATCCCTGTGTACACACCATACATAAGCATGTGTACTCACTCACACATGAACATTTACATGTAAACACACATACATGCATTAAAAATGCAAAAGTTTTTACAAGTAAATAAGTAGAAGACGTGTTCACTGCCAACTACAAAGCATCACTGAAGAACCTAAAAGGGTGGGCCAGCAAGATGACTTAGCATTCATGGTTTTAAAGTCTGCCTGACCGAATGAGTTCAGTTCCCAGAACCCATTTGGTA